CCAGCCAAAATTATTGCTAGCAGATTTGATTAATATATCTATCGAATTGTTCAATAAACATTGTCATACTTTGGTTTAAATTTTTTTATAAAATAAATATTTTATTTTCTGAAACGGTAGTTTATAAAATCTGAAATATTTCATTATGAATATTATTTATCTGTCCACGTGTGTCACGTAAATGGAATGCTGCAGTCAATGAGGCTGATATGCTTTCCAGTAAGTGTGAAATTTATGTTCTTCAGGGAAGCAAACTGCTCAGCGTTATGAAATAGTTTTAATAAAGTGGTAACGAATATTTTGGTTAAATTCGTTAGAGAGTAATAGTTACGCCTACTTTTTAGTTGAGTAACCAATAAGTAGATGCTTTAACGTTGCATTTTATATGACACTTATAATTTTTGATATTTAGTGGTGAAAAAATTACTTAAAAGGAAAAATGCTAAACAAAAAGTAACTTAAATTTCGCTACCACTAGAAAATACTATTTAACAAAGCGGAGCAAGTTGGCATCTCTGTGTTCTTCACTTCTGTTGATTTTGCTTTTTTTTTTTTTAGAAAATAATCTAGCAAATCCTCCGAAATAAAAAAATTTCGAAAGCATTAAAATGTCTAAATCACAAACTTTGTGCCTGGCAGCTTACTTTGAGGGTCTATGCCTAAATTGTCACTGCTGTCCTCTATCCCACTTAAATTAAATGATATAATTAAAATATTATAAATAATTTTATAAATTGTGTACGAAAAAAGTGTAGCTGTTTTTTGTTTAGATCATTTGAAATGTAACGTATATATTTTCAAACTGACACGCCATTTAAATGAAATTAAATGCAAGAATGCCACGGGGGACAAAAATGTAAAAACTTCTAATTTATGCAATTGCAAAAATCTAATTAATTGCAAAAATGTATTAAAACAGATTAAAATTAGTGAACCTTATGACTAAATTTTTTTTCAGTTTGTTGTTGCATGGGAATTCAAGGACTTCACTAATCAAAAGATGCTGGATACTTAAGCCAAACATGGCTCAAGTCAATTCATGCCAGCCTTGAACTCCATTCTGCCTATAATCAGAGATGTCAATTTACTCCGAAGAGTATATAATTATTTTCGAGTGGTAGTCTTTTATTGTATAATACTTTGCTTAGTGGAGTCGATGGTATTTTTACTCACCACTAAGAAGTGGAGTCTACATAACGAGACCTGATGGCGATATCAACGTTATAATGAGAAACCCGGATTCTTGTTCTGTTTTCCAATCGGAGCTTCTTGCTATTGAAGAAGGGCTGCACGCAATTGATGAGGATTCGCTGCTAGACCTTATCTGGATCCTAACGGATAGTAGAAGCTCTGTGCAATATTTTAGTGCATGACCCAGAGTTGGCAATAGGGTTGGAACGGCAATCCTACAACTTCTCAGTAAACTTTCGGTGAAGCAGGATATTTATTTGCAGTGGATTCCATCCCACGTTGGTCTATACGGGAATGAGATCGCTGACTCGCTGGCAAAACTTGGCACAAATGAACCTATGCCGGAAAGTTTGACCCTCACATCCTCGGAAAAATTACTCCATTAGAAAGAAAGGTGTCCAACTAGCCTGGAATACTCCCCCAGTACATATCTGGCACTCTGGGGATAAGCCGGGTCGGGCTTTGACCTTCAGAGGTAATAGAGACGATCAGATAGCGTTCACTAGATTCATCAGTGGTCACATAAAGTGCATGAGGTATGAACAGCCGCGAAAGGTGTATCCCACCTGCAACAAATGTTTCTCCAGTGTAGCTAGCCCGACCCACCTCCTTAGCTGTGTGGATTTTGAGAAGGAGGAGTTTCTGCTCGACCCGGTCTTGTTTTTTGATTTCCTGAGGGTGAATGGACTCATGGACCTGGTCTAAGCTCCGCTAAACCAGTGGGGATGAGAAGCAACAAACAACAACAACAACACTCACCACTAATTCTGTGTCATATGATATTCTTAAACTGAAATATTCAGTGAGAATCGTTTATTTTTTTTCTCACGATTTAATATATAATTCCCAAAAGGCGAGTCAGAAGAATGATATAGTCCATTCCCGTATTAGTTATTGATTTTGATTTTTTGCGAAATTGTACTTCCTTGTACTATCTCATTCATATGCGCTATTTGTAAATATTTATTTTTTGTTCTAGTAAATATTATATTGCATTATTCGGAATTTTCTTTCTTCAATTATAATTCACATTATTGTACTTTCAGCTCAGACTTAATTCAATAGCTGCCTATGGCAAAAAACCGTTAGGCAGACATCTCGAAATTTACTTTTACATTAAAGCATTATAACGATAATGTCATGTAGAGTCATTTAAAAAGTTAACAAAATTAACCGGAAATTTCAGTTTGCAGTTCTCCTCCGTTTTTTATAATATTAATAGAACCTAGAGCAATTGACTTCCCTTCATAATGGTCAGTAAAATATATAGCTTATTTAAAATTCAAAAATGTTTTAGAAAAGGAGAGGATATCGCTTTGCTTTGTCTTTGAGTCTGGATTTAATAATGGATTAATTCAATATATAAATTTGACGTTTTTTTATGACATATTGCTGAAAATGTTTACCGCAATTGGTCTATTTTATTATTTTTCTTCATCAGAGTTCTGGGATTGAAAAATATTTTTAAAGTTTGTTTCAGTGCACTTAAGAGCTTCTCCGAAAATTTGTCGATGAACTTATCGAATCTTTCTATTTTAATATCTTCATGGATATCTTTGTTTCGTATGAACCTTCTTGCATTAGTTTACTCGGAACTTTATTTTGAAAAGTGTTTAGTTTCTTCATTTGCGTTTTTGAAAAATTGCTCCACGCTAATGATGCAAATGTGATTTAATTATCGAAACATAATTGGTCGAATTATTGGTGTAATCATCGAAACAGAGAGCTCTGGAGTTAGAGATTGCACTATTGGAATAAGATCATTGAAGAGAGTTAGAGAGCTCTGAATTGTTGAGGTTTTCTTATTTTTCCTAATGATGATCTCATTATATTTGTGGGCATTAGTTTTATTTTCCAGTGGACTAATTTTCAGTTTCAAAATCTTTGCCTTGCAGTTTCAAAATTGCCAAGTTTGCGTTTTTGGATTTGTCGACTATACCAATGTCATCGGCTTAATCTTTTTGGGACGGGCAAGCCATATGTGTATTCGTACGGAACTAGAATCATAATGGAAAAAAAAGCTGTAACTTAAGATTGACATGGCTTATTTTTTATAATTTACCAGTTTTGTTTTTGCTTTTACTTTAATTCTAAGATATCTCATTAATGATCGTTCGTTGTAGTGGACCTGAGTGTTTGAGGCCTTACGACCTTTTTCCCATTCCTCCTGAAATTAGACTAAGAAACATACATGACAGAAATAAAGTTTGGGGAGCAAAATGAAGTTCGTGAGAGAAAGAAAATGGTACTTTCCCATTATTAGGTAATAATAAAATTACAAGTAGTAAAAAAGTACATTAAAAAATGTAAAATTAAGGTACAATGGTAAAATAAACACTAATATTTACAGCTTTGGAGTGCGTACAAAAGGGGGGGGGCGAGTTAAAAGAATGTGAGGATGTGTGTATATGTGTGACTCTGTTCCCAACTCAGGCAGATGATGCATCTGTAAGGTGTCAGTGGGATCAATATGCATTTTCAGTCATAGGGAATGAGTAATTATTCATTATTGGTCAAAGGGTTGGACACTAATATGAGTTAAGGCCCTCATTTTAACTCCTTTTTGCTCTCAGTGCAATTAAAAAAAAGCCTGCAAATAAGTGTCTCAAATTTAACTATAGCTAGCAGTAAACGCCCTCCTTTGATTATAAAATGGACATAATCAGAAAAATTGAAAATGGATGCGATAAAGTTGATATTTTCCGGGAATGTAAACTAAATCTGCAGTTTGTAACACATGGAAAAATAGACAATTAATAATTTCTGCTCATGAAAAAAATTTAGATGGCAGAAAAAGTTGAGAAAAGTAGATCACAAGTATGTTGAAGAAGCATACTGAAAAAGCATAAGTGGTTCAAAATTCGAAAAAGCCACAATCTTCCTGTATCTGGATAAATATCGATGAATTTGCTAAGTGATTTCATGAGACTACTTATATAGGCTCCAATAGCAGGTTAGAAGACAGGTTTAAAAAACGGAATTACAGAAATTCAGGAAAAATTATCTGAGAGTCGAGAAGTGTTTCCATATCTGATGTTGAGGATTGCTCATCAACTAAAGATTAATAATTTTTATTTGTACGCAAGATGAAGATGAGAGAGAATGAAAAATAACACATTTTTTGCTACTACATAATATTTTTAAGTCATTTATTTGAATAATGTGCAATAAAAGGGAGGAGTTTGGGAACCATTAGTTGAATTCCCTCGTAACGGATATAGTGAACACCCGGTTATAGTGAACCAAATTTTTGGTCCCTCAAAGGTTCACTATAGCGGGGTTTGACTATATAATNTATATATATATATATATCACCATATACCTTTCATTTCTAATCTAAATCGCCCTGAAAAATTAAAATTAACTACACATTTTGTGTGTTTAAAGACAGCATTTGTTTTAATTTTGCTTCTTTGTTTAAATTAAAAGAGGGGAAAAAACGTAATCCTCAGAGATATTACATTAACTTCCCGAAGCAGGAGGAGCAATTCAGTTCCATTAGTCTGATTGGTAAAACATGCATGTCTTGCTTTTGACTGAGGAAGAATAAAGTTTGGATAAAACAATAGCGCTGCAAAAAAAAAGGAGGGGAAAGGGGGAAACTTATGAAGCTATTCTTCATTTTAGTGGCTAATTGGCTAAAAAAAAGTCGCCGATTTTAAGCAACTCATTGTAAATTAGTTGTTTTTACTCATATGTCTACTAAAATAGTCGCCCTAGTTGATACTGCTTTAAAATAGACGATTTAGTCGCCAATGGCAGCCCTATACTCATAACAACAACAACAACAAAGTTCAATATCCAGAGTATTGCTACATACAGAAATTTCTTTTTATTAGAATGTCATATTACAGCTCAAGAGAAATAACAAAGTTGATTAAGAAATTGATTAATCCTTAAACGATTTAGGGTTTCAGAACACTTAGCCCACCACACATGTGATTCAGGCATTGTAGATGCGCCATCTTCTTTGAGGTCATCGTGTTCTTCGAAATCTTCGATATAAAACTCCTCATCCTCATCTTCCAGATAAGCACAAATTTCAGCATATTTACACATATTATCAATATCCCTATCTATTTTCTCGATGCACAAATCTATCCTGTTCATATCAGAGCGTTTTAATGGAGTTTCATCAACAGGAAATGAATCAAAAAAATCTCTGAAATACTGAAGGGAGGATCTTCGTAACAACAAAAAACTTTTTATCTTACAGTGCGTTTGAATACCACTGGTTCTATATACAAATTTTTCAATAGGTGTAATAGCCTCTACCATCAAAAATCCAATTTTTTTCTTCTCTTCGTCGAAGAAATGCAATTGGTATTTATGGCGTAATGCTCTTAAAAGGTCTGCTGTACAGCTCCTTCTAATCTCCATTAAAGTAGTAGAAATTTTTTCTAAAGCATTTCTGTTGTTTCTGACACGCATATTATAACTATAATAATGATCAATACTATAACCATACAAATTAATAAGACGTTCGAATTCTTGTATGAAATGCATTAAATATTCTTCTGAATTATGTTTTCCACAGTCAAAGTTATCAATATCCGAAAGAAATCGAGATATAAACTTACTTACTTCTTTTAAGTCATGAGTTCTATTCTTTAGGGACATCAAGATAAATTTGTTTATGTTATACTCAGGTTTTTCAGAATGAATTATGTCTTTAAGACGATTCATAATTAAATCACTATTTAAAGATTTTTTATTCGTATCAGTATCCGAATTAAGTTTTTCAGTATGAATTATGTCTTTAAGACGATTCATAATTAAATTACTATTTAAAGATTTTTTATTCGTATCAGAATCCGAATTAAGTTTTTCAGCATGAATTATGTCTTTAATACGATTGAAAAGTAAAACATCATTTAAATATATTTTATTTATATCAGTATCCGAATTAAGTTTATTTATAGACCTAAGCAATTCACAAAACTCCCAGGCATTGTTACTACTCTTAGTGTCTTTCAAGTGCTGCAAGAGTCTCTCTTTTCTTGACATATAATAAAAAGGCACCTAAAAAGAAACAAAAAATAGTATAAAAATAAAGGCTGTCTAGATTACAGATTTTCTTCGTTGGAGTGATGTTTTGAAATTTTGTGAAAAATATTTAAGTTAAAAATTTAAAAACTTATTTCGCGGAAATAAATAATTTTGTCCCAATTTGAGCAAGTAAAAAATTAGTTTCTCAAGATTTGATGGCTATAAAAAATGTCGTGATTTTAAAAGAAAGAGAAATAGAAATTTTAAAAAATACTTTTAATGATTAAATACGAAAAATAATAAGAAAAAGAAAGAAAATCGAAGTACACTCATTCCTGCATAATTGAAAAGAGGAGGAGAGGGAACCGGTTTTCTCCCCAGATGGCGTAATCGAGCATTGCTATCGCGAATACGTACAAAGGCTTTGACACCTTATAAGCATTAGATATGTTTAAAATTTTTTTGTATTGAGGATAAGAAATTGGTGTTCAGGTAATATAGGGGCATTGTAGGGGGTGTTTAGTTTTAAATATAATCAATCATCAATGCCTTTACCCATTCACCCTCAAATGTATGAGGATTTTCCAGATGTAGATGGAGCTTGATATTGCGCATATCCAGTGGACAATGTATAGTTTGTCTTTGTAAAAAATTCTCCATAGCCATTCGTCTGGAGTGGGGGCGGTGACCATGGTTACGGGGTTCAACTATTTCAAGGGTGTTGAGAAACGGATCTGAAAAGTTTCCTTGTTCCTTGTAATCGCCCTGACATACTTTAAGATCCGGGAAAGTTCACTGGAAATAATAACTGCAAATAATAATCAAACACAGTCTTCTCAGCCGTCCGCTCTGCTATCTCGTTATTCTATTGGACGTTTACCATCGTCCTTCTACTTCCTTGTATACCCCTATAAAAGGGATGACAATTGTAAAACCACACTTCTTAGCTAACAATAAAAGCTTTAAGTTAACCGATCTCATGGCCGTTCATATCCTTCTTTCACAACAAAGGGTAAGTTGGGTAATTATTTAAGACAGTTTTTGAGTCTGGCTGGCAGGAGAAAGAGAATCAAGGAAGAAAGGTGCTCCCCTCCTTGAAATGCACTATTTCTTGTTTTCATAGCAGCAGACGGCCTTAGACTTCGTGGCGAGGGGAGTTCTTTCTATAGACAAAATATATTAGTGAAATTTGATCACTTGAATATGAGACAACTTTATATGCGCGACAAATACAATCATTTAATTTTTTTTCTTCTGTCACTTTCTTAGCTTTATTATCCAATATTATACCTTTCGTAATTCCAGCCAGTCCAATGTATTTTAAATTTAATAAAAACTGTTGTTTTAACAGCTTATCCCAAAAAGAGCAAATTGTCAAAAAAGAGAAATATAATAAATAATATAAAAATGCTTTGCAAAGATGAAGCTAGTTTAGTTTTGATGTTTTACTATTTTCTCAAGATTTAAAAATTATGGATGAATTTCAATTCTCATTTAAGTACAAAAGTTNTTTAACAGCTTATCCCAAAAAGAGCAAATTGTCAAAAGAGAGAAATATAATAAATAATATAAAAATGCTTTGCAAAGATGAAGCCAGTTTAGTTTTGATGTTACTATTTTCTCAAAATTTAAAAATTATGGATAAATTTCAATTCTCATTTAAGTACAAAAGTTTTTTTTTTCTTCTGAAAATATAGTAATAAAATAGGATACTATTGACAAGTGAATGAATTTTACGATGGGTATTATAGTAAAAAACAAATAGCTATTTTTAATAAAGTTTCACTTAATGTGTATTTTTGTATAACTCTATTTTTATAACATTGTTTTTTGAATGAAAAATTATTCTAAGTTCTTTTGTGAAATAAAAAAAAAAACTTTTACGAACGTCAAATTACTGAATTAAAAAAAGAATTAACAATTCGCTAGTTAAAGTTGTAGGGTGATTTCATTTATTGTTAATTTAATGAAAATAATATTAATAAAAATAATACTAATATAATATTAATTAAATCATAAAATAATAATTTTACATTTTTATTTCAGAATTTTCTATTTTAAACTATTTTTTCCTAAAACTGCCTTTCAGCAAAATTTTTTGGAATATTAAATTTGCAATTTAACTAGAGAGAAGTTTTAAAATAGCTGATGTTTACCCTCACATAAAAAGAATTATTATGCATAATGATGTTGCTGTAAGATCCTAAATATTACTAGAGATACTTCTAATAAAATATATCAGCATTTAAGAAATTACTTGACTCCATAAAAATCATGATTTAGAAATGCAAATAAGATAAGCAGCGGAATAAGGAATCACCAAATAGCAACCTTTCTCAGAATTAGAGGAAGGAAGATTTGTCATCGTTGTTATAGCATATCCTCCGTTATCGACAATTATCGAAAAAGTACTATTAAATTAATCATTTATCTTGGGGATAATTTACAATTTAATTGAGTTTTAATCAATGAAAATTATACATTTAAACATTATTTTTATCAAAAGTAAAAGATTGAATTTATAGGCAGAGACGAAAAAATAACTTTGTATTATGCAAAGTACAATTACTACTGCATTACTATTTTTTTTTTTTTTTAATTTACAAAATTAATTCTCTTGATATACAGTTATTTTAAAGATGGCAGCGACAACTGAAAAGCTTTTTTCGACAGTTTCGGATCTTCCTTTTAAATAAAAATAAATTAAAGCAGTAATGCGCAGCTATTACTTTTTAGTACTTTAGTATTAAAGAGCGTATTTTTCTCCACTAGAATCTGTCATCAATTTTTAAACAGAAAATTTCCGTACTTCCGTTCCTTTGAAAAAAAATTTTGAATCGATTTATAAATTATTTATNTTGATATACAGCTATTTTAAAGATGGCAGCGACAAATGAAAAGCTTTTTTCGACAGTTTCGGATCTTCCTTTTAAATAAAAATAATTTAAAGCAGTAATGCGCAGGTATTACTTTTTAGTACTTTAGTATTAAAGAGCGTATTTTTCTCCACTAGAATCTGTTATCAATTTTTAAACTTCCGTAAAATAAAGTACTCAGTATTATTTTACCCTCTAACATTAATGGGCTCTTACAGAGTGATGGGGGTAAAGAAGAGGGTCAAGTAACCTAAGTCATTTTAAGAAAGGAGGACTTTTAATAGAAAAACCAGTAATTATGTTAAACAGAAAAAATATAAATATTTTTATATTTCTTTAAGGGGTGGGATGAGGCAATTTTTAAAATCTCTTTATGGAAGAGATCAGTCCTATGTCATATCACTCCATATAATTGTTTTTCCGTACTGTAGTTTGTCATTTGAAAATAAAGTTCAAATTGACAAACGATGAAATATTAAATTTTAGTAGCTTCGTAAATTAATAAAAAAAAAAAATTAATTTTAATAAAAATAAATTTGTCGGTATAATTTTTTTATCAATGCATTTTTGCTGTCTTCTTAAAGCGAAAATTTAATTGCGTAGTGGAGGTATGGAATTTCCCCACCAGCCTTGGAGAAATGGGTATCCCGAGCTAATATGGATCGATTTAAAAAAATTGGTTGATCATATTTTTGAATCTATTATTTTTAATTAAGCTTATTTTGATTATTAAAAAGGTTTTTTTCTCAAATTGAAAACGTAATTTATAATTATTTATTAATTTATTTCGTGTCATGCATTTTAAATTTTTTACGTTATTATTTGTGAATTTACCGTTTAAGTTTTTACTAATATCCAGAATATCCTTATCATTAATTATCGATAATATTTTTAATAAAATTGTATCTTTATACAAATATAATAAAAATAAAAAGGCATTAAAACTAAACAAAAATATTAGTATTACCTAGCACAGCAGATTTCAAACGGTGTTCCACGGAACCCTAGGGTTCCGTAAAGAATTGCAGGAATTCCGCTAGTGAGTACTTCTTACAGCCACAGACGACTAACCACCCAACTGTAACACTCAGCTTCTGCACCCTAGAGTCCAAGGTCTAAGACAGAGGTTCCCAAATAGTGTTCCACGGAATCCTAATATTCCGTAAAGATTTACAGGAGTTCTGATAGTGAGTACTTTTTACAGCCGCAGACGGCTGATCACCTAACTGTAACAATCAGCTTCTGCACCCTTAAGTCCAATGTCTAAGACAGAGGTTCCAAAATGGTGTTCCACAGAACCTTATGGTACCTGGGAAAAACTACAGTGGTTTCGCGAGTTAGTACTTTTTTTATAGCTAATGATGAGTATTGAAACCTCAGATTATATTTAGATACAATCTATAATTTATTTAATCTTTCGGACACTTTAAGAAATTATTTCTAATAAAATGTCATTAAAAATAAATGGCATTTTTTTTTAAAATAAAATATAATATTTCTAACAACAATATAATGAATAAATTATGAAAACGACAAGCATTAGTAATTCTCATCACGCGTTTCCGATTAAAATAATTATATTCTTTAATAAAGAAATATGTTTCTTTAATAATCATTTTCAACGTTTATTGTAGTTTTTCTAAATTTTCATTTCGAAGTAGTTCATAATTCAGCTTATTTGAACTTATTTATATTATTTATTTCAATTCATTCATTTTTAACTTAAGTACAGTCCGCAAAAAAAAAAAAAAAAATTGCGAATCAGTGTGAATATTTTTCGTTCCAGTGATCGGATTTTTACGAACTAAATGTCAATCTTAATGGTTCTTGGGGGTGACCTCAAATATGCTAATTAATTAGTGCTAACTATTAATTAAGTTACGAAATCAGACACAAAAACGTACTTTCTCTGAATAAAAATATTTTTTTTACATCTAGAATACTTGAATTAGGGGGGTAGTAAAATTTAAAGAAATTGGGCCGTAATTTGGGTCGCAATAAAGGTTTATATATTTGGCGATAGTCTAGAAAACCACTAAAAAAAATCGCCAGCGCAAATCAATATTTTAAGATAACCCATTAACTAATTCAAAAGAGGAATACTTAATTTTACTAGGTTGCAAAGCAACCAAGTTCTTACTGTAAAAAAATTTAAATAATGTTCTGTGATTGCTCGGAGAGATTTAATTAATAGTTAACAGAAAATATCTCGAAGTTTCTAGGCAATAGACAATTTAAAAGCTGATTTCTGTCCAAAAAGCAAATTTCTTTTTATTTTAATCTCCTTTGAAAAAAAATTTTGAATCGATTTATAAATTATTTATGATTTTCTAAGTTTTTAGAATTTAAATACATGAACTTTTTATCTGGTATTATTTAGATTATGCCGTTTTTTTGCTATATTTATTCGAGGATTTCGTACTAAAAACAAACTAACATAACTTATTATAGCTGTATACAAAATTTTATGGACAATCATTTTTCAGCTTTAATCGAGTCTTCTAGGTAAGAAAGTTTGAAGGGAAAAAAAGTGCTTGAAAAATAAAATTTTGATTGTATAGTAATTCTAATACACATTCACACGGTTTTCTATAATTTACGATATTTCTTTTTTTCTATAACTGAAGAAATTGCTGAATGCTTACTGGCATTTAAAAAACATTGGAATATGTTATGTTTAAGAATAAGATATTGAAATAATTTGTTGTTGCATATTGCATGATTCATTGTTTAAAAAATCGCTTCATTCTGCTGGATATTTAGGTTACATGGTTTTCTTTGGATAAAGATGATTAGCAAGTAGCATCCTCATGTTTCGATACATTCTGAAACTTACGTTCGGAAATTCACCGTAAAATGTCTGTCACCCAGCATATTCTTCAATTACAATAAGCTACATTTACCACCAAATACTGCAACTATAATTATTTATTTCTAATATATATTTGATCCGATACTTAAATATATAATCCGAAAAATGGGGGCACAAAAACTTTAAGGATAAAATATTTAATTTCATTTAATTAATTATTCATTGTCGCCAAATAATTTTTTAAAAATAATTAATTTTAATTTTTTTCATCTTCTAATAAATAAAAATAGTTGAAACTTTTAGATTTTTTAATTGAAAAATATGTAGATTAATATGGTATAAAAAAAATCTATACCTTATAATTCAACATTTTTTCATCGTCAATTTAATTAAATAATTAAAAATATTAATTATTAAAAAATATTTTTTTCATGAAATTATCTTTGGGTAAATGAGTTTTAAGAGTGGGTGCAAATTTTTTTTGAATTGCTTCATTAGTTTTTTAAAATATGACTGAAAGCGCAAAAGATAAATTAACATTAAGGGGTCCAAACTTTGAATCGCTCTCCTGACCAAACTATGGGGACCATATTTCCTAGATAGCGGCTACCCCCTATATTTTGAGAATCCAAATATGTATTTTATCATATTCAGAGAAAGTACGTATTTGTGTCTGATTTCTTAACTTAATTAATAGTTAGCACTAATTAATTAGCATATTTGAGGTCACCCCCAGGAACCATTAAGATTAACACTTAGTTCGTGAAAATCCGATCATTAGAACGAAAGTTATTCAGNAAAAAAAAAAAAAAAAAAAAAAAAAAAAAAAAAAAAAAAAAAAAAAAAAAAAAAAAAAAAAAAAAAAAAAAAAAACGAATCACCTTAAGCCAGCGAAGCTTAATCTTTTTATTTCTATTTCTTTTAAACTATAAAATGCGATGCGATGTTTCTTTTTTAGGCGCTTAAGAATTTATTTTTAATTTAGTAAAGAAATTTGAATAAAACATTTTGAATAAAAAACACTTTATTCAACGTATGTCTAGTTTTATAAAAGAGTGCTTCTGATAGAATATGATTATACACCAGATTGTGCTTATTTAATGTGATTTACTATTATTTTTTTATTTTGTTTTTCAATAACTGATACAATTTCAATAATATACATACGTATGGATAGATTTGGAACAATATATTTATCAATTTCTTGAATATATATTTTATAAATATTAATAAATATAGTCAGCATTTTTAATGACCTTAAACACGCAATATCATTCGATGCAGAACAGCTGACTATTTACTAAGAATACTATTGTTTACGAAAAATGAAGATAAATTCTTGCAGATAATGAATATAGATGTAGATAATAAAGATAATTTCTCTTTTTTTTATTGTTTCTTATCTATTCGAGTAATGAAAAGTAAATGCGTATGCGTGGACAGCACAGAAATACAACAGATTGTTTTGTTTTTTAAATGAACAAAAAACTATGGACATGCAATTTTATTTCGACATTCAAAGTTATTCTTGTGCGCTAACTTAAAGAAAGTTACCCTTTTGTTATAAAAAGTTGGAAAAATTTGCTTAAAAAGTTGTTTATATGATTTCTCAACTTTTGCCCAGTTCAAAAAATATTGCTATATGCAGGAAAATGTTCGATATGCCTTGTTTTGTTAAACAACTATTAAAATAAAAAGATTCGATAAATGTGCTATTTTTAGGATCATCATCTCAAAATTTGTTATTTTCCTCCATTTGACTTTTTTCTACTTAAATAACTTATAATAATATTTTTAACACACGTTTTGAAGAAATTATGAATAAAAATTTCTCCTAATATTTCGTAATAAAAAAAACAAGAATATTAATGATTCATTTATAATTGTTTCATTGAACCGGAGTAGTTAATTGTTTTCGTAATAATCGGCCTTCCAACTATTTAACTTTGATTCTTTGGACTAGGGGGTCACTTCATATATGTCTTTCGACATTGAAATTTCAAATATAAAATGTAAAAATCACAAGAATGCGTAAGCTGGTTTTAAGTAACAAAAAAAAGAGGACAAAATCGTTGGCAAAAGAACTTATCTGATGAAAAGAGTGTCAGAGTGAAAAAAAATATTGTAAAAACTGTAACAATTATTACTCTTGTTTAATTAAGGGTTTTATAAACCTAATTTTCTTTTAATTTTTTTAAATTATATTTTCTAAAGAACTAACGAAAGGAGCGTGTAAATAACATCAACTCTTTTCACTGCAAACTGAGTTTGCTTAATATCATTTGCAAATCTTATGAAGTGCAAATTCTTGAGTTCAGGTGTAGGATATTTCATGCATGATCAGTAGTTTCAAGAGTAAACTCTTACATTAGCAGGCAACTAACTTCTTTAAAAATTCTAATTCGGAAAAATACTTGTTATTTTACAAATGTTTTAAAGCATGTGTATTATTTAAATGGTTATTTATATAATTTTCACATTGGCCATTCGTACCCCTTGATGAAGCAAAAACAAAGACCCTAGTAGACCCCGTTAATACACGCCGAACACTAACAGTGAATTCTTTTTAAGTCACCTACTTCGCTTTATCATCTGCTATTATACCTTTCATTACTCTATCTAATTAAATATATTTTAAATTCAAAAACGTCTGTGTGTCTAGCAAAATGTTTTAAAAATGACAAACTATTCACTCAAAAGAGAGAAATATCATCTGATTTATGAAATATTTAATGTTAAAAAAATGTACATAAAGATTGCGAAATAAATATTTTTGTCATACGATCGCCAAAATAAAAATTTTTTTAGGATTGTTCCCATCCTTTTCTTAAAAATAGCGAAATAGTATCACGTGATGAAGGCGGAGCCAAGTCCCAACTACTGGTGAACGAACTATCAAGACAAAAATGCTGTATCGAGAGGCGAAATATGTACCGAGGGGCTTCACAGAAGGTAAAGCTTGACTAACCCTTGCCCAGTAAACGGTACACGAAATATCAGTGTTCAAGAACATTGTCACTTTTTAAAGAAATATAACAAAAAAGTTCATATTTACCATGTCCAAAAAATAGTAGCAATCTCTAAACTCCTGCAAATAAAACTCTTCACAATTAATATCATCTCCGTCAATAGCAAGTGAAGATCTTCGCGCCAATAAATGTTTCTCTATAATAGATTTTGAGGCACTATTCAGTAGTAACAACCTAGTTGAAATTAGTGAAACAGCATCAGACATTAAAACTTCGATTTCTCTATTATGATCATCGGAGTGATTACCTTCCTCAAAAATTACATCGGACACTATTGAATACAGATAAAAGATTGAAGACATATATCCATCATTTAACATATTTTGCCCTAAATGATCAAATAATCTAGCTTCAACCATTTTTAAAGCTCCTTGGGTATCTAAAAACAGATTAGGAATTTTCTTATTTGCATTTCTAAAAAAGCATTCAACATCACTTATAAAATATTTCAAGTATTCTTTTAAACTCTGGCCCTTGGGATTCAAGAAATTAACCGCATCAATACTAAAAAGAAGTGAAATAAGCTGTTGACGTGTTTCATTAGAGCTATTTTTAAGTGCTTTTAAGATCGTATCAATTAGAATAAAATCAGGCTTATCTTTATGAATGATTTCTTTTAGCTCACAGATAATTGAATGAGCTGCTAACTCATCTTTGTTCAGGGTAACATCTAGGGAAGGGTGAAGAGAGATACAATCAGATTCTTGAGTGATTTCTTTGGCGTTTATGAGAATACCACAGAATTTAAGGGCTCTGTGGCTTTCCTTGATAACTTCTAAGGTCTTCTGGAAGTTCTCCTTAAGTCGCACATGAGAAAAACATACCTATATAGAATAAAATTATAATTAAGATCTGGTAATACTTGTCAATGAAAAGTTTAATGATATCTTTTGCCCTGAATTATCCGAGGAAGATTTATTGCATTAAAATAGCTGTAAAATTTAAACCAAAGTTACAAGTATAAGTGAAGGTGTATAAATTTTCAGTATACAAAAAATTAGAATTAACTTTATGATATTAATTTAATTTTAATGATAAAGCACAAGGTATAAAAAAATTAAAACAAAGGAAGGACGTAAGAGATTGATTTCTCAAATTGAATTTTATTTTAAAATGACTTTAAATTTTAACATGTCTTCTGAATTTTCTGCTTTATTCCAAGGTGAAAATTAATTAAATTTTCATGATATAGAACAAGGGATGAGAAAAATTAAAACAAATGAAGGAATTAATTTTCATTTTAAAATGACTTTTAATTTTAAAAAGTCATCTGATTTCTCTGATTTATTCTAAGATAAAAATTAAGTTTACATAACACGAAAAATATATATATAAACACAAATTAAAATATATGTATATAGATCTTCTAGCGTGCCATATTTAAATATGTTTCTTATTTAACGAAGTATAATCTAAACACATCGTTAATTCTAAAATTATAACGTAACATTTATTGTATATTAGAGTGTATTCTATATTAGAGTGTATTGTATATAAGAGTATATTGTATATTATACATGTTATTATAATTTTTTTAACTTAACAATGTAATATTATTTTTTAAATTATAGCTATTCGAAACAAAATTGAATAGCTAGCGAAAAAGACTAATAAAAATTTTAAAAAAAAAATTTGAAAAACCTAATGATATTGGGAAATTATGTTATATACTTTTAAAATATTTAAAAAATTTCAAGTACAAATTGAGTGAAATATATTTAATGACTTTAAATTATTGTAACAAAATATAGAGAAAACAATTTACGAAAATATCATTAACATAAACAATGTAAAAGTAAAAATTCGATGAAAATGAAGTTTTAAAAAAATATTTACAATTAAACAAGAAATAAATCTGAAAAATTTGTTGTACTCCTAAAAATTATTACGGAGTTTTCATGAAGACTTATTTTATTAATAAGAATCAAGAGTTACAAAATTAATCACAAAAATGAACAAAAAGTACCATTTAGTTTAAAAAATGTTTGAAAAATAACAAAGACCGAGGAATAAAAATTATTATAGAGAAATTTTCAAAACCCAGGATCTGTGGCACGGGAGTGCTACCACATTAAGAAAAACAATAGGTTTTACTTACTGCGTATAAGCTGCAAGTAAATAGAACTCATAAAATAAGATCAAAATGTAGAGAAAGCATGGAAAAATTTCAGAACAATGAAAAAAGGTAGAAAAATTTTTTTTTAAAAAATTGAGTGCTCCTCACGCTAGTGTATTGATTGTTTTGCTTTGGGTATATTGATACAATATTAGAATTAAAGACTTTGCTTTCTCCCTTAAGAATTATGATTTATATAAGCTTCAAGATCTTATTATTGAATTTTTTTTATTAATTTGCACTTCAAAATTCTTTGTTTCGATCTTGTAAAAGCCAAAATGAGTAAAATTTCTCCAAATAAAAAGAAAATTCAGATAATTTATATTTTGTTATGTACTTTCAAAATCCTATTTTTGCTAAGATCAAATTTCATAATATTTTTGAAAATTTTAAAACTTTTTTTCCTTTAAACGATTTAAAAATAATTAAAAGCTTTAAATAAAATAAATATCTTGGTAGAACAATATAAACTTATAAACTTTATAGAACAATATAAACTTTATAGAACAATATAAACTTTAAAAAAAAAAAAATTTGTTTTAAAAATTTATGAGGGAGCTAACACTACACTTACTTATGCCAACTGTTATAAGTTGAGTATCATAATTAAGTTAAATTAAAATGCGCATAAATGTAAGCCAACGAAAAATTGAAACCAACATTAAAACCTTTGAGAACTTATACTTAAGAATCATTACGCAATTTTTATAAGAAATTAATAATAATTAATAACTGAACATTAATAACGTAACATAAATTTAATTAAATAACTGCAAACTAAAGTTATTAACTAACATTAAGTTATAATTCATGGAAATGTATAATTTTTAAAACACCATTTATATTAAGTGATAAATATAGAATTATTTTATTTCATTTTTGATAAATTGTCTGAAATTAAATAATTTAAACTTAAATCAAGAATAAGTTTTTGAAATTTCAAGATAATATCTTTCAAAAAAGCATATCCTCTCCTCTACTAATCAGCATTATAATCAGCTTGTTATAAGTAATTTGCAAATAAGAGGCGATAAAGGATAATCCTCTAACATCCCTTTCCAAGCTTCATCTTAATTCTTCACCCCTCTGATTTTGACAGTTGGAGATTGATTAAGGATTATGCCCACTGAAGAGGGGGAGAATTTTTGTAGCCATCACTTGCCAACCACTTGTGTGCATGAACCCAAATTCTATTTTAAAAATACTTCAGAGAAATTTATCATATATATTTTAGAACTGAATCTATAGTGATTGACAGGTAAATAAAACAAACCAATTATATTCATAAATGAAACAAATTTTTAGACATATATTTGCTACCACTTTCTAATTTTTAATAGATTTCATATTAAATGGTTCTTTCTCTACATGGTTTGCTCTCATAGTGGTCTGATCAGACTACCTACAAAAAAGCGCGTGGAGGCTTTCAGTTATAGAAGGCGTTGATAGAGCACCTTTATATTGAATTCCATTTTTCCCCCTCTTTTATGTACTTTAGGTTAGGTCCATCTTGAGCAGATTCATTATCGTTACTAGGTTTACGAGTACAACGATCCTAAATTACTTAACAGTAGAAATCTACTTACTCTGTTGTTCCAAAAATGCCACTTAGGGAGAATTTGCAGAATGGCCTGACGATACATCGTATATAATTTCAGATAAATTTTCCACACAACTTTTTCACTAAACCAAGTATACACTAGTTTTCTAAATAGATAAAATACTTATTAGTAAGCAAACACTATGTAGAAGTAACGAGACTTTATAGCCTTACCTTATTAATTTGTAAAGTAAACTCTCGATCAACCCGATTATCTCAGAAAAAGTTGTTTATGAATAAAATTGCGGCAACTACAATTTACGCCTACCTTGAATTACATTATGACAAATTATACGTGACGAAACAATTTAACTAATCTTTAAATGCATTTTAGACAAAGTATTTTTTCCGTTCCAATTAACCAGGAGAATTGTGTTAATAAAAGTGTAGGGAAGGCAGGGTTAGTCTGGTTGGTAGGGCACTGGACCTATGTCCAAGAGTTCGAACTCTGCCAGCCGAAGACTCCCCGTGTAGTAAAGGGTGACTGATGTACGTTAAATCTGTCAAGTCACAAAGTCCTTCATGTTCCCAAAACAAATTATTCCTCTGGGGGAACTGATCCATGAGTTTCCTTGTCTCTGGATTGGTTCAAAATTACAAAGGCTACGGAGTTGAACATTACTAGTCGTAAACCCAAAATTGAGTCAGCTGTTCAACATTATTAAATCTAACGTTATCATTAAAAAGCATTATTAAATCTTAAATTTTGTTAATTATTATATCTTATTTAAATTTCGTTGTGTAAAAATAAATTTTATTTTAAGCTCTTGAAGAAAATACATTTTTGCTAAATTAAATTTTATGCAATTAACAATTAATTATCTTTTAAAAGTTAATTTACTAAAGTTTAGTTGATTAAAATGTCATTTTAGAACCAGATTCGGAGCTTGTTAAGAAAAATAAAACTAGTAATCATAAATCATTTTAAGAATCAACATAAAATCATCAATGCTACAATTAAAATATATCCCGAGTTGATTTTCAACACTACTTCTTTATATGACTTTCGTTACATTAATCATTTACTTTTTCAAAGCAAAATCAGTTGATAAATTATTAAGATTATACAAAAGATATATAATGCAAAAATAATTTAATAATACCTGGAGTGGAGGGAATTAAAAATAAATATGTGCACGTGGGGGAAAAAATGTGCACGTGGAGGAAAAAAACAAACTAATTAACTATCGCGTTTTCCATTACTTGTTAGATCAAATTTTGAAAAACATTATTATTCATTAAAATTTTGAATTACCTAGGCAATTATTAAGGAAGAATTTTAAAAAATAAATTAAAGCAATTTACATTTTGGCGGCCTCTGAAATCGCCGGTGGATCCACCGCTCACGACTAACAGCGTGTTCACGTACAGCTCTCGCTTCCTAGGAAAAAGAGGGGGGGAGGGGAAAGTTCCCTGCGCGGGATAGCGCAGGCGGCCTACTACAAATTGTTGATTGGTCTAACACATTGCTACGTCATGCTTTAGTTGTAACTGGTGTTCAACGCTTGCATACGTCAGAGGGGGACACATACGCTTGCATACGTCAGAGGGGGACGCATACGCTTGCATACGTCATCCTTCGAACACGGACGGTGACGTCACTATTCCCCGGAGTCTGTTCTATATCACCGTCCGATAGTAAAACAAAATCCAAACCTCGCAACCCCCGAAGAGAGCGGTGAAGGGAATCCAAGCCCTCGAACAAAGGTTCGGACCCTCCCCCTAGGAAGTGACGTTTTGTATCGATAGTTATGAGGAAGTGACCAATGACTTTTGTTTTTCCTTTAATCGTTCTCCCTTCGCTTGGGGATCGTGACCTCTTTCCCCGAGTTCACAGTGTTCTTTCAGAAAGGGAATGTATTCTTCTTTCATTTTGACAATTTCATAGTCTAAAATAAATATCCACTTATTTTAACCTTTGATCTTTCTTCAAGAATTTAATATGTAGTATTCGTTTTAAACTTGTTTGCATTATTGTATAGGACAGTTTATTCACAATTTGTATGATAAAATTCAGGGCTTTGAGGGCAATTAAAATTGTGGAAACAGCAGCTTTTTCAGAATAATGTGTTTCCACGCTTAGAAAAATAAATCGTTACTACTTCTCAAAACTACGCACAATATATAGGCATTTTAATCAAAGAATTTCAATTATGATTCCAAATGTTCAAAGATGAGAAGACAGCGGAAATTAAAATGTTTTCCTCGCCATTTAATATCGATGTGGATACAGTTCCCGAAGACTTTCAAATGGAAATGATTGGTATGCAGAATAATACCGATTTAAAAAAAAAAATAAAAAATTGCAGTAACCATCGAAAATTTTTATAAATCGTATATGAGCCCTGAGAAATTTCCGCTTTTGACAAAAAATGCAAAGCAAACGATGTCTCTCTTCGGAAATACATATGCTTACGAAAAATTATTTTCAGCCATGAAATTAATCAAAAAATGACCACCGATCAAGACTGATTGATGCACGATTAGGAAGTTACGTACGTGTAGCTACCTCATCAACTCCGGCTGATATTGATCAGCTTGTATCGAAAAAACAGTGCCAAATTTCTCATTAAGAAGTTGAAGTAAATTCGTTTTATTGTACTTTTCTTGTTTGTTTTTATTTTGCATTAAAATTTGTATATGAAATCTTTACTTTTTTTAAAATTTTATATTTTTTATTCTAGTGTCTATAATAAAAAAAGTTTTGTAAATTATTAATAAGTGTTACTTTATATGCAGCCCGCCAAAACATTTTAAAATTTTAATTGGCCCGTTGATTAAAAAAGGTTGCTCACCCCTGGTTTAGATCGTTCGAATTTCTCTTTTTTGAAGGAGTCAAAATTTTAATAGCTGTAGCACCCATAATTTCATATCACAATTTTTACATTTTTTGTTGTTTTTTTAAAAAAACATATTATACAAAACAATAGCTCAAAACGATTTTTTTTATTCAAATTTTTTTTTACAAGATATTAACAATTAAATTTTAAAGCTCTTTTTAATTAAAAAAATAAATATCTAAGGATAGAATGAATGGATTTTTAAAAAAATTTATCTCATTTTACGCGGAAATAATTGAAGTTTTTGATAAAATAATTATAATAAAACAAATGTTAGAAAAAAATTAATTTTTATTTCAAAATTAAGTTGTAAAATGAAAAACAAAAATGTTGTACAAAGTTCAAACAAAACCCATTTTAAAGTAAATTTTATTCTGGACAAAATGGCATTTAAAAAAAAATGGATCACAATTTCATAAAAAGTTATAGCTTTTTTCGCGAAACGCTGCACACTCTGCCACTCCACTTCGCTGATCGCGCTGTATCAGTTGATTTGGAGGGAATTTAGAAACCTCAACTAAAGTTTTACAATATAACAAACATTATGTTAAATAATAAATTTATAATTTTAGGTGAATAATATTATGAATAATTAGTTATTTATAAATTTTTACATAATTTTTTGAGTTCAAACTTGGAACTAGATGAATATATTTTATTTATAACTATTTTATCAAAAACTTCATCGTAAAATGAGATACAATTTTTATAAATCCATTTATTCTATCCTTAGATATTTATTTTTTAATTAAAAAGAGCTTCAAAATTTAATTTTTAACATCTTGTAAAATAAATTAAATAAAAAAAATCGATTTGGGCTATTGTTTTGTATAATACATATATACTTTTCAAAAAACAACAAAAAATTTAAAAATTATGATATCAAATTTTGGGTGTAACCGCTATTAAAATTTTGACTCAATGACAAATTAAAATTGTTATTTCTATGATTGATAAATTGATAAATAGAATATGTATGGAAAATGCATAAAATGGTTTAAAGCAAACTTATTAATAAATAACTCATTTATAAATTTATCATACATAGTAAATTGGTTATTAAGAAAAAAATAAAAAAATAAATTTGCTAATAAAAAACTGTTAGAATTATTTTTTTAACAAATAGTGAGAAAAACTATACATTAAAACTATACATATAAATTAAAAGTTACATTAAAATACGAGTAAAGAAACGTAATTTAAGCAACAAAAAAAAAAAAAAACTTAGATAATTTCAGATGGTTTGATGGGTACTGATCAAAATCATCGTTGATAGTTTTAGATTTCATCCTATTTGCGGTAACTTGCTTTCAGTTCCAAAAAAAAAAGCAAAAAATAAATAATAAAAACAAAGATATTCAACAATTTTTCGGCAAAGGTAACGTGAACTATTTCTATTTTCAGCAAAAGTTTTATCTCCTTTTAAAATCAGAGTTAATAAGTTTAAGCGCTTCACTTTTTTCAGAAAACTCAAATAATAAAAGAAATTAACTGCTTTAAAAAATTTGCAAGTTTAGAAATTAAACCATCTAACAATCAATGAACATTCATAATAAATAACGTAAAATAAAAAAGCAACATTAAAAAAGCCTGTTCTACCCTTAATATCAAAATTTGTTCAATTTTTTCCCCTTTGTATGTAAAAAATAGCAACCGATTGAGTAAAGAGAATCATTTTAGGTAAGAAAGAAATATCCATGCAAATCTTTAAAAAAGTTATTGAATCAGATTAAATAAGTCTCCTACTGGTGGCTGAGTCAGCCAATCTGGTATATTTCCTTCCTATACTAGCTTAGCTAGTATGGGAAGGAAATATACCATAGATGTATATACCTAGCTTCGATGATAGCTAAGCTATCATCGAAGCTATCCTCCCTAAAATGTCCTCTTCTTGTTTCCATAGCACCAGACTGTCGCAGACTTTGTGGCGGTCAGAGTACCTATCGTAGACAAACAGTATTGTGTACTTCGATGCAAAATTATTTTGTTTATGTTGTACAAGGCTTAGTGTCTGTTATTGTATTAAGTAAGAAATATATAGAAAAAGAATTGAAATCTTTGTAAAAGGATATGAAATGTGTCACCTGAGAAAATCAATACTTGACGGGCATGGCTGACTCGAAATAGAATGGAAAGGACAGTTGCCAACATAAACAAATGCCTCATTTCATTGACCAATCAGATTCAGACACCCACGATGCGTCACTTTCAGTGCAGTCATACCATTGAACTGAAACCAATACTTATAACGATTTTTCGCAAGTGCTTCGCTCTTGCCTCACTTTCTCGATTATTACAATAGACTTATCTGCCTGCACAAGTAAAATCGAAAACCTACACTGGCATTAGACTTATTGCCGATGTTGGCAAGAAAAAAAAATCCTCGAAAAACGGGGTAATAAACGCACGACAAACAGGTTGGCACGGTGTTTACCATGGTTTTTACCCTAAATATATATATTTTTTAAAAATCCTCCCTGTTTTCTAAAAAACATTTTTCTCATCCTCAGAAAACTTTTTTATTGTTTCTGCTATATCTGTAAACATCCTAAAAGCGTACATTAAAGTAGTACTAAAACAAGAATTCAGAACATAGTTAAAATAGTCTTTTATTAAACATTGCAGTATAATATCCGGTTGAGTAGAAAAGTTTTCCGCCAAAATAAAACAATCATGTAAAATGATAAATAAATAAGAAAATCAGCAAAGCTAATGAGGATAGTAATCTCCATTCAAATCAACAATAGTCTGCCAACGTTTTGGCAACTTTTCAATCCCTTCTGCAAAGAACTGGGGGGGTGCGCGAGTCCAGAAAGCGATCGACCTCATTTATGACCTCGTCATTAGAACGGAAGATTTATTTATTTTTAGATTACCAGAGATGCGAACTTGTTTCGCTTTGTAAAAAATATATTTTCTAGTAACATTGAAATTAAAGTTATTTTAAGTTTAGTTTTTTTTTTCATTTTTTGTAACATATGTCTTATTGAAAATATATAATAAATGCAACACTGTTATTGTTATCACGTGGTGACGCTTTTAAATAGTGGGCGTAATTATACTAATTCCATAAGTTTTGCTCTTCAATTCGATACTAATTTATTCAAATTTTGCAGAAAGCAGGGCATGTTTACTATTGAAAGCGAACTCCGCGAATGATTTTCCTTAAAAACTTTCGCGCCGACTGTCACAAATACGTGCCAGCATGAAACCGTATCAACCAGGGTAAAAAGATAAAACTGGTCATCAAAGTAATTCTAAAGCAGCTTATTTGTGGGCGGAGTTATAATTGTTTGATTTATTTAATTCACCATTACTTTGTTCAAAATAAAACTATAAAGTTATACTTTGAATTAACATTGATTATATGTGTGATTAAACTTATAATAATTGAAGTAAAAGCAAAGTAAGTCTGTCAAATTAGCAACGACTACATTCAAGTTACCGTTTTTTATTTAATTACATCCTGATTCTGATTTTGAACGAATGCTTTTCCGAATCACCCGTCTTCAAGGGGTTAAATATGAACAACTTGAAATGTAAGTTATAGTAGTATTGAAAAAAAATTGGTAATTAATAAATAAAAATGAATAAAATTTCGACCACTTTTTTTATTTTTAGTCTACTGTGGTGTCCTGCATATCTTGTGTAAGAA